TGGTCTCAAACTCCTGACCTCATAATCTGCCCACCTCGGCCTCTCAAAGTGCTGGAATTACAGGCATGAGCCACTGAGCCGGGCCATGAAGATGCTTTTTGTCATGCTTGAAAAGGCGTTCTCTCTTCTGCCTGGAGGACTTACACTAGTCTTACAAGGAATGGCCTCCAAGGTGTGTTTCCTACTCTGGCAAATCTTCCCTAAGAGTTCTCTGTTCTTACATCACCTGTGCTTCCAGCGGAGGATTTACCAAGCTGGGCTCACATTTTCTGTTGACCCTCCCACCTCCCCCATCAGAATGTCAGATGTCTGGAAGCTGGGACCTGTGCTGGGTGCTTCCAACTTCCCACCACCACGCCCCATTATCTATTATCTTTATCACTGACAAAAAGTACAATTTTATGTGGAGCAGCAACGTGCCCAACTAAAATTGGCACCTTCTCAGAATTGCTTGCAGTTAGAGTTGGCCATGTGACAGAATTCCAGCCTATAAAAAGTAACCAGAAGTCCCTGGAAAGTATTTCCTTCTTGAATAAAATGACAAAGCCTCACAAAGGAAAAACTTGGTTCTTCCACCTCTTTACTGGGGCAAAGACAAGATACCTGGAGGAAGAGTAGCCATTTTGCGCCGGCGCTGGTAAAAACCATGCTGAAAGCCGGGCATGGTGGCTCGCACCTGTAATTCCAACACTTTGGGAGGCCAAGATGAAAGGGTTGCTTGAGATCTGGAGTTCGAGACCAGCCTGGGCAACGTAGCAAAACCCCATCTCTACAAAAAATAAAAAGTTAGCTGGGTGTGGTGGTGCGCTTGTGGTCCCAGTTACTCGGGAGGTTGTGTTGGGAGAATCGTTTTGAGCCTGGGAGGTTGATGCTGCAGTGAGATTGTGCCACTGCACTCCAGCCTGGGCGACAGAGCCAAACCCTGTCACGAGCAAAAAACCAAACAAACCTCCCAAGACCAAAAAAGCCATACACCAAAGATGAGAGGGCAGAGATCAGTGGAGCCTGGCTGCTTGAGGACCTCACGGATTCAGCCTGGCTGTGCACCTTTGGACATCCTGGATGACCAATGAGAAAAATAAATGGTTTACTTTTTTTTTAACCTTTTTATTGAAGTATAATAAACAGAATATATATATATATATATATACACACATTAGATTTGCCTGTACTTTTTGCCTATAAAAACAGGCATATGTAGGCCTGGCGCAGTGGCTGACACCTGTAATCGCAGCACTTTCGGAGACTAGGTGGGTAGATCACCTGAGGTCAGGAGTTCGAGACCAGCCTGATCACCATGGAGAAATCCCATCTCTACTAAAAATACAAAATTAGCCAGGCATGGTGGCGCATGCCTGTACTCTCAGCTACTCTGGAGGCTGAGGCAGGAGAACCACTTGAATCCGGGGGACAGAGGTTACAGTGAACTGAGATCATCCCATTGTACTCCAGCCTGAGTAAAACAGACAAGTTTCCAGACAAGAGTGAAATTCTGTCTCAAACAACAACAACAACAAACAGGAATATGTACAAATTTATGGTTTTACTTCTGGTTTATTTCATGCAACAATATATTTGTGATATTCATCAATATTGTGCATAATTATAGTTTATTCATTCTATTGCTACATAGTATTTCGTTGTATAAATATGCCTCAATTTATTTATCCTTATACAATTGATGGGTAGTTTGAGTGTTGCTACTGTAAAAGCAAAATAAATCTCCCCAAAATCATAGAAGTCAAGATGGGAGCTGTGTGGGGCAAACCTGCCTCCCATTCTATTCCTAAAGAAGACAGAGAAAAGGAAGAAAGAAGGAAAGAAAAAGAAAGAAAGAAAGGAAGAAAAGGAAGGGAAAGAGGGAGAGAGAAAGAGAGAAAGAGAAAGAAGCAAAGAAAGAAAAGGAAGGAAGGGAAGGGAAAGAAGGAAAGACAGAGAAAGAAAGGGAAAGAGAAAGAAAGAGAAAGAAAGAAAGAAAGAAAGAGAAAGAAAGAGAGAAAGAAAAAAAGAAAGGAGGCTATATACTCCCTCACAATTTACCCACAAGAAAATTCCCTGTGGACAAAGGACAGGCATCCCTCTGCTTACATGAGACAAATGCATATCTGATTGCTTCCTTTGCCTGTTGCTTCTATCTACCTATGATGTGGAAAAATGAGAAAACTCATAGAGATAGAAAGTAATCGATCTATTACTTACCTACCTGAGACCTGGAAGTCCCCTCCCCACTTCAAGTTGTCCTGCCTTTCCAGACTAAACCAATGTACAACTTACATATATTGATTAATGTCTCATGCCTCCCTAAAATGTTTAATTCCAAGCTGTGTCCCGACCACCCTTGGCACATGTCAGGACCTCCCGAGGAGGTCCTTGTGTCACAAGCGTATCTTTAATCTTAACAAACTTTCTTTCTTTCTTTTTTTTTTTTGAGACGGGGTTTCACCATCTTGGCCAGACTGGTCTTGAACTCCTGACCTCAGGTAATCCATCCGCCTTGGCCTCCCAAAGTGCTGGGATTACAGGTGTGAGCCACCACGCCTGGCTGACAAAACTTTCTAAATTGATTGAGACCTGTCTTAGATACCTTTTGGTTTACACTACTACAAATAGCACTGCTACGAATATTCTAATACCTGCCTTTTGGTGAACATATTATACACCTTGATGTTGGGGACAGATCTAGGAGTGTAATTGCTAGGTCATAGGGTATATATGTTGTTGTTGTTGGTTTTTTTTTGTTCTCGTGGATACTACAAAATCATTTCCCAAAGTGTTTGACCAATTTACACTCTCAATAAAAATGTACAAGAAAATTCTGGTTATTCCACACCCTTGCCAACACTTTGGTAGGTTCTGAGTTGTTTAGCCATTATGTTAAGTGTGCATTGGTTAACAGAAGACTGGCTTTTAATTGTATTTTCCTGGTAAAATAAAGTTGAACGCCTTTTTAAAAGGTTTATTGGTCATTTGGATATTCTTTTTAAAGAAAAAGCTCTATTAAGATACAATTTATATGCTACACAATTCACCTATTTAAAGTGTACAACTCTGAGCAGGGCATGGTGGCTCACACTTGTAATCCCAGCACTTTGGGAGGCCGAGGCGGACAGATCACTTGAGGTCAGGAGTTCGAGACCAGCCTGGCCAACATGGTGAAACCCCGTCTCTACTAAAAATACAAAAAATTAGCGGGGCATGGTGGTGTGTGTCTATGAAAATAAACTCTATAATTCAATGGTTGGGTTTTTTTTTTTTTTTTTTTTTTTTGAGATAGGGTGGAGTGTGGTGGCATGATCTCGGCTCACTGCAACCTCCGCCTCCTGGGTTCAAGCAATTCTCCTGTCTCAAACTACCGAGTAGCTAAAATTACAGGTGCGCACCATCATGCCTGGCTAATTGTTTTGTATTTTTAATAGAGACGGGGTCTCACTATTTTGCCAGGCTGGTTTCAAACCCCTGACCTCTAGTGATCCTGCCACCTGGGCCTCCCAATGTGCTGGGATTACAGACATGAGCCACTGTGCCAACCAATTCAACGGTTTTTAATAAATTCACAGATGTGTGCAACCACAGCTACAGTCAATTTCAGAGCATTTTCATTGCCTCAAAAATAAACTCCATACCCTTTCTCTATCATCCATATCTCCCCACTCCCCATGCCCAGCCCTAAGCAACCAATAACTTACTTCTGTCTCTATGAATTTTCTTACTCTGAACTTTCATATGAATGTAATCATATAATATGTGGATTTCTGGCTGGGTGTGGTAGCTCATACCTGTAATCCTAGCACTTTGGGAGGCCAAGGGGGCAGATGGCTTGAGCCCAGGAGTTTGAGACCAGCCGGGGCAGCATGATGAAACCCAACCTCTACAAAAAATGCAAAAATTAGCCAGGCCTGGTGGTGGGTACCTGTAGTCCCAGCTACTCAGGAGGCTGAGGTGAGAGGATCACCAGAGCCCAGGAGGTCAAGGCTGTGGTGAGCTATGATTATGTCACTGCACTCCAGCTTGGGTGACAGAGTGAGACCCTGTCTCAAAAAGCAACAACAACAAAAAAGTGGATTTTTGTGATGGGCTTTTTTCACTTATAATTTTCAAGTTTCACTGAACTTGTAGTATCAATATTTCATTTTTTATGGTCAGATAATATTCAATTGTGTGGATATGCTACATTTGGTTTATCCATTAGTCTGTTGATAGACATTTGGATTGTTTCCATCATTTTGCTGTCATTTTTTTTTTTTTTTTTTGAGACGAAGTCTCACTTTGTTGCCCAGGCTGGAGTATAACAGGTTAGCAGCTCTTCTGCCTCAGCCTCCCGAGTAGCTGGGACTATAGGTGTGCACCACCACACCAAGCTAATTTTTGTATTTTTAGTAGAGAGGGAGTTTGTCAATGTTGGCCAGGCTGGTCTCAAGCTCCTGACCTTGGGTGATCCCCTGCCTCGGCCTCCCAAAGTGCTGCCATTACGAGCTTGAACCACTGTGCCTGGCCTGCTTTTATATTTAATGCTGCTATAAACATGCACATTGAAGTTTTTTAATTTTTTTTTTTTTTTTTTTTTGAGACAGAGTCTCACTCTGTCGCCCAGACTGGAGTGCAGTGGTGCAATCTTGGCTTACTGTAACCTCTGCTTCCCAGGTTCAAGAGTTCAAGCGATTCTTTTGCCTCAGCCTCCCCAGTAGCTGGAATTACAGGTGTGAAGCACTATGCCTAGCTAATATTTTTATGGAAACAGGATCTCTCTGTGCCATCCAGGCTGGAGTGAAGTGGTATGATCTCAGCCCATTGCAACCTCTGCCTCAGCCTCTACAGTAGCTGGGCTTACAGGTGTGCACCACCATGCCTAGCTAATTTTTTTGTATTTTTGGTAGAGACGGGGTTTCACCATATTGGCCAGGCTGGTCTCAAACTCCTGAGCTAAGGCAATCCTCCCGCCTTGGCCTCCCAAAGTGCTGGGTTAACAAGCATGAGCCACCGTGCCCGAGCAGAAGTTTTTTTTTTACTTTTATTTTAGGTTCAGCGTACATGTGCAGGTTTGTTATATATGTAAGCCTGTGTCATGGGGGTTTGATGTAAAGATTATTTCATCATCCAGCTACTAAGCCTAGAACCTGCTGATGTAGAAGTTTTTAAGTGCATGTATGTTCTTCTTTTTCTTTTGTTTTTTTTTTTAACAGTCCAGAGGTCTTTTTTTCTTTTTTTTTTTAAACACCCATTACGCCATGAATTCATAGGGAAGAGGTTCCAGCAGCTCAGGCTCCTTCATTGGTTCTCACACTGTGCTTCTCTGGGTGGAGCAGGCTGGCGCTTCAGTTGAACCCAGGTACTTTTCTCTTTGGCTTCTTTCTTTTTCTGATCAGTTTCCTTCACTCCTTTCAGGAAGCTATCTCCGCTCTTAGAGTGTTTGATGTGCTCAACATGCTCGTTAATTCTCTTGGCCAGAATCTTGCCCTTAACTTGTTTGTTTACAACAATGCCAACAGCATGCTGGGGAACACTGTAGGCTCTTCCAGTTTTGCCATGATAACATTTGTGGGGCGTTCCTTTTTGAACAGTACCCATTCCCTTGATGTCTACAATATCACCTTTCTTATAGATTCGCATATGCGTGGCCAAAGGATCAACTCCATGTTTTCTAAAAGGCCTAGAGGCGGCCGGGCGCGGTGGCTCAAGCCTGTAATCCCAGCACTTTGGGAGGCCGAGGCGGGTGGATCACGAGGTCAAGATATCGAGACCATCCTGGTCAACATGGTGAAACCCTGTCTCTACTAAAAATACAAAAATCAGCTGGGCATTGTGGTGCGCGTCTGTAGTCCTGGCTACTCGGGAGGCTGAGGCAGGAGAATTGCCTGAACCCAGGGGGTGGAGGTTGCGGTGAGCCGAGATCGCGCCATTGCACTCCAGCCTGGGTAACAAGAGCGAAACTCCGTCTCAAAAAAAAAAAAGGCCTAGAGAACATATATCCAGTGCCTCTCCTCTTTCCCTTTGTGTTCGTCATTTTGGTGAATTACTGGAAGATGGCAGTTCCAGCTGAAAGGCTTTTTTTTTTTTTTTTTAATGTTCTTATTTTTCTTGGGTGTAAATGTAGGAGTGGAACTGCTGAGTCATATGGTGACTCTGTGTTTAATCACTGGAAGAATTGCTAGAGTGTTTTCCAAAGTGACTATACCATTTTACATTTCCACCCACAGTGTATAAGCTGACTCCTCCACATCCACTTTGAAACTTGTTTTTATCTGTTTTCCCTTTAAAAAAAAATTTTTTTTTGAGACAGAGTCGCACTCTGTCACCACGCTGCAGTGTAGTGGCGTGATCTTGGCTCACTGCAACCTCTGCCTCACGGGTTCAAGCGATTCTTCTGCCTCAGCCTCTCAAGTAGCTGGAACTACAGACATGCACCACCAGATCCAGCTAGTTTTTGTATTTTTAGTAGAGACAGGGTTTCACCACATTGGCCAGGCTGGTCTAGAACTCCTGACCTTGTGATCCGCCCACCTCGGCCTCCCAAAGTGCTGGGATTACAGGCGTGAGCCACTGTGCCCAGCCTTACTTTTTAAAATTTATTATTATTATTGTTGTTATTATTTGAGATGGAGTCTTACTCTGTCACCCAGGCTGGAGTGCAGTGGCATGATCTTGGTTCATTACAACCTCTATCTCCTAAGTTCAAGCAATCCTCCTGCCTCAGCCTCCGAACAGCTGGGATTACAGCCATGTGCCATACCCAACTAATTCTTTGTATTTTTAGGATAGACAGGATTTCACTATGTTAGCCAGGCTGGTCTAGAATTACTGACCTCAGGTGATCCACCCACCTCAGCCTCCCAAAGTGCTGGAATTATAGGTGTGAGCCACTGCACCCAGCCTATTTGTTTTTCATCTTTTATTTATTTATTTTTTGATACACTAGGCTGGAGTTACAGTGGCATGATCTCAGCTTACTGCAACCTCTGCCATTGGATTCAAACAATTCTTTTTCCTCAGCCTCCCAAATAGCTGGGACTACAGGCATGCACCACCATGCCTGGCTAATTTTTGTATTTTTGTTAGAGACAGGGTTTGGCCATGTTAGTCAGGCTGGTCTTAAACTCCTGGCCTCAAGACATTTGCCCACCTTGGTCTTCCAAAGTGCTGGGATCACAGATGTAACCCATCATGTCTGGCCCTGTTTTTTTTTTTTTTTTTTTTGAGTCGGAGTTTGGCTCATTACCCAGGCTGGAGTGCAATGGCGAGATCTTGGCCCACCGCAACCTCCGCCTCCTGGGTTCAGGCAATTCTCCTGCCTCAGCCTCCCGAGTAGCTGGGATTACAGGCATGCGCCACCATGCCCAGCTAATTTTTTGTATTTTTGGTAGAGACGGGGTTTCACCATGTTGACCAGGATGGTCTCGATCTCTTGACCTCGTCCTGTTTTTTAATTCTAGTCATCCTAATGGATGTGAAGCAGTATGTCATTGCAGCTGGATATCCTCGAATGAAAACTCTATGATTCTGGGTTGACTTTCTTCTGAAATTCTTTTGTTATACATATATATATATATATATATATATATATATATATATATATATGTTTTTTCTTTTTTTTTTTAACTTTTTTCTTTATTTTTTAACTTTTATTTTAGGTTTGGGGTACATGTGAATGTTTGTTACGTAGGTAAACAAGTGTCACAGGAGTTTGTTGTACAGATTATTTCATCACCCGGGTATTAAGCCCAGTACCCAATAGTTATCTTTTCTGCTCCCCTTCCTCCTCCCACCGTCCCGTCTCAAGTAGACCCCAGTTGTTCCCTTTGTGTTAGTAAGTTCTTACCATTTAGCTCCCATTTTTAAGTGAGAATGTGTGAGATTTGGTTTTCTGTTACTGCATTAGTTTTGCTGAGTATAATGGCCTCCAGCTCCGTCCATGTTCCTGCGAAAGTCATGGTCTCATTCTTTTTTATGGCTGCATAGTAGCCCATGGTTTATATGTACCACATTTTCTTTATTCAATCTGTCGTTGATGGACATTGAGGTTGACTCCGTGTCTTTGCTGTTGTGAACAGTGCTGCAATGAATATTTGCGTGCACGTGTCTTATGGTGGAATGATTTATATTCCTCTGGTTATATATCCAGTAATGGAATTGCTGGGTTGTAAAATTCTTTATACATCTAGATAAGAGGACTTTGTGAGATTTTCAGACTTGCCGAAAGTTCAGAACAAACTTTAGTATGGCAAATATCTTCTTCAGTCTGTGGGTTGCCTTCTCACTCTTTCAATAATGTCTTTGGTGAACAAAAGTTCTTAATTTTAATACAATTCAAGTGAGGATCTTGTCTGCATGTGATGGCTCATGTCTGTAATCCTAGCACTTTGAAAGGCTGAGGTGGGAGGATCACTTGAGGCCAGGAGTTTGAAACCAGCTGTCTCTATAAAAAATAAAAATAAAGAGAAATATTTACTTCAGGGTCAAAAAATGCTTTCCTTAAGTTTTCACATGACAGTTTTTTGTTGGCCGGGCGTGGTGGCTCACGCCTATAATCCCAGCACTTTGGGAGGCCGAGGCGGGTGGATCATGAGGTCAAGAGATCGAGACCATCCTGGTCAACAAGGTGAAACCCCGTCTCTACTTAAAATACAAAAATTAGCTGGGCATGGTGGCGCGTGCCTGTAGTCCCAGCTACTCGGGAGACTGAGGCAGGAGAATTGCTTGAACCCAGGAGATGGAGGTTGCAGTGAGCCGAGATTGCGCCATTGCACTCCAGCCTGGGTAACAAGAGTGAAACTCTGTCTCAAAAAAAAAAAAAGAAAGTTTTTGGTTTTTGTTTGTTTGTTTGTTTGTTTTGAGACAGGGTCTCAGTCTGTCACCCAGGTTGGAATGCAGTGCTGCAATCTCAGCTCATTGCAACTTCTGCCTCCCCTGCTCAAGCAATCTTCCCACTGGGCAAAGATGCCTCCTGAATAGCTGGGACCACAGGAGGCACATGCCACCATACCCTGCTAATTTCCTGTATTGTTTTGATAGAGTTGGGGTTTCACCATGTTGCCCACACTGGTCTCAAACTCCTGGACTCAAGCAATCTGCCCACCTCGGCCTCCCAAAGTGTTGACATTACAGGCGTGAGCCACTGCCCCCAGCTAAAAGCTATTTTTGTTTTAATTTTATCTGAAATTGCTTTTTGCACATGGTATGAGCTAGGTCAATAGCTTTGTTTTCCTATGTGAATATTTAATATGACTCAGATCATCTATTGAAAGACCATCCTTTCCCCACTACACCACAGCATGCTGCTTTTATCATAAATAAGGTAGCCATACATGGGAGTTTATATTTGGATTCTGTTTTGTCTCATTGTTTACTTCGCCTATCCTTGCAACAATATCTTACACACACACACACACACACACACACACACACAATAGTTCTATTATAGTTCTTGATTTTGGGTATTGTGATCCTCTAGTTCTGTGATTCTTCTTCAAGATAGCCCTAGTTGTTCTTGGCATTTTGAATTTCCATATAAATTTAAATCAGTTTGTTAATTTCCTCAAAAAACCTGCTAGGAATTTAGGAGGATTGCTTTGAAGCTATAGAGTTGAAGATGACTGACATCTTTATAATATTAAGTTTCCAATTTATGAACATGCTCTATTCCTTAAGCATTAAGTCCATCCTCAATTTCTCTCAGCAGTGTTTTGTAGTTTTCAATGTAGTGGGTGTTGCACATCTTATATTAAATTTATTCCTAGAGAGTTGGTTCTTTTGATGTTATGTAAACAATATCAGTAATAACATCTAATTTCCTATTTATTTTGTATTTGGACTTTGAATCCAGCAACCTTGTTAAATTTGCTATTGCCTTGGTTTTCTTCTTAGGTTCTTTTTTTTTTTTTTGAGATACAGTGTCGCTCTGTCATCCAGGCTGGAGTGAAGTGGCACGATTTCAACTCACTGCAACTCTGCCTCCTGGGTTCAAGCGATTCTCCTGCCTCAGCCTCCTGAGTAGCTGGGACTACAGGCATGTGCCACCACGCCTGGCTAATTTTTTGTATTTTTAATAGAGACGGAGTTTTACTATGTTAGCCAGGATGGTCTCGATCTCCTGACCTCGTGATCCACCCACCTTGGCCTCCCAAAGTGCTGGGATTACAGGTGTGAGCCACTGCACCTGGCTCATTTTCTTAGATTCTTTTAAATTATCCTGGTACACAATTGTGTGGTCCGTGAATAATGACAGCATAGTGGACTCTGTTACACGGCACCCAGAACCACCCCCTTTCAATCAGAAGCATTTTTTCCTTCAGTTCCTTGGAGTGTTAAGGGCTGACAGCTACCAATTGTGCCACCACTGGACTTCTGCTCTCAGCTATTGTCCCCCCATTGCCAGGGACAGTCCATAATCAATAACTGGCTAATCTGGAGGATAAAGGCTTTGCCTATGTCTCATTCAGGATCACTTTGCATGACTATCTCAGCTCTGGAGCTCCTCACAGGAGTTACTGTGACTGAGTTGAAGCCCAGCTTCTCTCTCTGCCTAAAGCTGCTTCCTTCGTTTCCCCATGGATGTTGATCTGGAGAGTGTTACCTAATTTCCTGCATGCTGATCTATATCTCAAAGTCTGTTTCTTGAACAACATGACCTGTAACAGTGGTGACAGAATTGGCCTAAGAAAGCAAACCTTAAATTGTGCTTTTGGAGTGGATTCATCAACTGATCAGCTGCTGAAGAGAACCCCATCACTGCAGGCAGGTGGAGTCTTGATAGCCCCTGGCATAGTTAGCAGTGCCATTGTGGAAATTTCTGCCAGTACTGAACTGAATATCTG